AAATGAATCACTGTATAAAGTGTCACACTTTGAAAAGCATAGGCAGAAAGGGCCATTTCTGGTATGTTATCTAACCCAGAGCAGAAATCAACTAATATAATGAGCATTTCTTAAATAGCATTAGCTTAACAGGTGGTTACAGAATCGATCCTTCTGCAGATCAGTCACATCATGTCCTCTCCATAGGGAGTGGAGATTAAAGAGAGGGCTCACAGTGACCAACTTTAAATGCAGCAGATTGATCTCTATAAGCTCTCTCTCCATCCTTCCTTTCCTTTGCTATTACCCTTACCCTTACCCTTACCCTTACCCTTACCCTTACCCTTACCCTTACCCTTACCCTTACCCTTACCCTTACCCTTACCCCTGCTCCATAAAGAACCTTTTCGTCACAGGCCCAGTAAAACTGTTTTAACTATAGCTCCCCAGCTCCCTCCTGCAGTTCACCAGGGAAGTCAAATTAAAAGATTAAGAAACCTAGGTCAAAATAATTCCAGCAAATCAAAGTACTCCTAGTTGGAATGTATTGCCAACAGCTCCCTGTTTGATAAAATAAGTGGCTCTGTGTGAGCAGCTGTCTGGGAGCAGGTCTGATGATTTCTGTAGTATGACACAGAGCGGGGAGGGGAAGATGCTTACTTAGATAACTCTGACCGAAGACCCAAGCATACTCAGTGGGACCACTTACTTTGAGGTCAGCAGAATTTAAAAGAAACAAAGATTCTAAAGTACACAGACATTTATAGGTGTAATTAATGTTTTCTCAATGGTTATGTCTTTTTCTTAAGCGCCCACTTCAAAGATTATAAAAGGAAGTCAAGCACTTTAGAAAGTATCCTTTCCAATTGCCTGGTCCTCAAATCACTCATTACCACACAAGCGTGTCAAGAGCTGTCACACAGACCAGGTATAGTGGGAAGGCAGCCACAAGTGTTTCAGTTACAACAGATTCATAAAACTTCAGGCATCGTAGATCTGTTGTGTTTTCAACTCCCTTTGGATTTACCATTGGAATAAACAGGGACTGTTAGGCTTAGTTGCTAGAACCTAAAATCCTGTGCTGGACTGCTGGGATTTTTTGTGCTGAGCAACCTGTGCATGCAAAGCCCATGAGCCCACATATGCATGGAGAAGCAGCTTGCCTCCCCCCCCCAAATCAACAACCTTCGTCTCAGTTGAGTTATTATTTAAGTTTAAAAAATGAAGATAAAACTTTCAGCAGAACAAGTAAGTTGCCTTGCGCACATGCTGTTTTAGGAGAAGGCTGAGATCAGCTCCTGCTTATGCAGTTTCTCTGAGGAATTAACTCCCTGGTATCACAGTTTTCTGAAGTGGACCTGAAACACTAGGTGCATTAGCATGAGCATTGTAGTTGAATTTCAAATAAGAAATTCTTCTTTTTCAGTCTGAGGGGAATATATTGGTTTTAAGATAAATCCTGTCTGAGGGAAGAAGGCAGCCCACTAAGCAGCACAAGGGATCTGCATAAGCATATTAATAATGCAATTATTATAACCCAACAAACAAGACAGAGTGGGCAAAATAATTATCAAGATTAGAACAAGCTGAAATTGGTATTTTGCAGCCATAACTGCTGCTGGTATAATTCATGTTCAAGAAAAATACTTTAAACTGGAAATTGCAGAGGCAATTTAGGTATGAGTCCTAAAAAAACTTAACTCTTTACAACCTGAAAAAATGATGTAGTGAGGAAGAATATCATCAAAGTATCACTTTTGGTCCAATTTTGCTCTCAGCTGGCTAGGTGAAAGACAACTGGACCAGTGGTGCCAGAAGGCAGTACCATTATGAAGAAGAAATAAGGCCAGTGACTCCTGCAAATTGCTATTGAAACCTCTGAATTCTTGAGTATCACATATCTGCGCACAGGGCCTCAGCTGGTGAATTGTTACCACAGCAAACATTGGTATTAGACATGCACATAGCAATGCTTACACACACACAAATGTTTTTCTTGAATAAAATAGAAAATGCATAATACTACTTTGTGAATGATATTCATATTACTGCCAACAGTTGTAAAACAAGACACAAGGGAGATGTAAACACTTTTTCAACAGCTTTCTACTCTCTGCAAGGTGAAGGCTGGGACAAATTGATGCAGTCTTCCAATTTTACTTCCTGCTTGAGGAAATCTCACAACTTCTCCTCTTTAAAGCATGAGTAGTTATAACAAACTGTAAGTCTTGACTTCCAGTTTTTTTTTTTTCCTTCAGCATTGGTTTTACCTGAAAAAATATGGTTATGCATGATACACAAGAGATACACGTTGCATGGCTAGGCAAAAAAAGCTAGGTTAAAAATAGCACTTGAAGTTATGAATTTATGCTTGCATTACAAATAGAAGTTTGTACTTCTGACAATACCACTGAGTTATATTGACCTTGATCTCTCTTGTCATGTCTTTATGCTATTACAGATTTAATGGATATAACTGACGAAACATCCCTGATAAAAAGATTTTTAGAGGTTTTAAAACACAAAACTCTCACTGTTTAAGGCAGTAGGATTACAAAATTCTCAGATTATTTTTTTATATTTAAGACAGTTCCAAGAAACCTCCAGGAACTCCACAGAGCTCTCTATTGTTTTTCAACTAGTCCCGGTGAGAAAAAAATGGAAGAATAAGAATTCAGAAATAGAGGATTCTACTGCAAATGTCAATATGATTCTAGCTGGCTTTGGGTGGCTGGCCTGCACAGTTAGATGCATGTCTGAAGGAAAAAATGCAAACAGTGAAGACCATTTATGCAAAGTAGTATAGGATAAACAGGAAAATTAATTTCATGAATGGCAATTCCTGGCAACCTGGCCTTCAAATGCAAGCAGCCTCTTAAATTACATCTGGTATCATTCAAAAATAGCTCTCTTTCTATATATATATATGCACATATATAGATTACATATATATATGTATTCAAAAAAATCTTGCAAAATACCTCATAAAATTGGATAAAGTACACAGGCAGTCTACTGGTTTAGCACAGACAAGTGATTCTATGAGCCAAGGAAAAGAGGTTCATGTGCTGAGGTCTTTTGAGTAGTGCTCTTCATAGTTTCCAAGGAAAAATGTTTATCAGGTCTTTCAGAACAGCTCAGAGTTAAAAACAACATTGGGAATATAAAGCATCAGATTTTCAACATCTCTCAAATAATACAACATTTTCAAAACTTTGGAACAAGATTCGCTCTCAGTTTTGTGCGACAGACTGTATTGACGGCAATACAGTCTCCCCTGAGTTCGAATGCACAGAAAGCAGGAAAAGGCATTGCACCGAAGGAAGTCTCCCTTGTCAATTTAAAGGACTTTCTCCCAGATACTTCTTCAGAAACAAATTATTTTATTTGCTTATTTCTGACAAGAATCCAGCTGCAAGCACAGAAGGGTCCAGCAGTTTTTCAGTGGTGGGAACGAGGGTCATTTCTTGTGCACTTCAACCTCAGTAGTATAGAGACATTTTTACCATTTCAGCTCTGCCATATAATCCAGTGCCTTTACTGAGTATTTATGAAGACCATTGCTACTATGTTGCCATCTATGAGAAAAATCAGTTAATGTGGAATTCAAGAAGCTTGTTTTGTCTGTTTAAATGAAAAGTACTTGACTACCCATTTTTTAATCATGTTTTGGAACAAACCCCATGTAATGTATCGCAGAAGCGGAAAGTAGAATTACACTACTGCTGATTTCACATGGTTTTGATTAAATCCTAATTCCTTGGCTTTAAACAGTGAAGTGTTGACTCTTCAGTGGGCTCTTTCCTCTTCTCTCAAAGAATTGAACAAGTATAGCCTGGAAGTAAGTTGATAAATTTTACTTTGCAGCCAAGGGAGTCAATAGTTTTCAGATGTTTAAGAAATGGTTTAAAACCTTGGTGGTAGAGGTGCCCTGTCACCCAGTTTTCCATGGAAAACGTTCAGTTGATCGAAAGATTATCGGCGTAGTTCAGCATTGTGAATGGAACCATGCTGGGGTTGAACACAGGGCTGCATCTTCCTACCAGAAAGATTCCCAAGTCCTGCACAATTCTGCATCGTCCAGAGCGAGCTTTCCCGCAGCCATTCCTGAGCTGTCTTTGCAAAGGGATGCGCTTGCTGAGAAGGGCAACCCGGGTCACCCATTGCTCTTTTGTAGGGTATGGACCAATGTAGCCAAACCGCATAAAGAGAGCAGGAGTACATGTATTCGAAACTTAGGAGGCTGTAGCTGAACTGAAACTGCTATCTATTAGGATGTATAGAATTATGTGAACACTATTTTTTGGACAGTGTGAAAATGAAAATGTTGTGTATAAAACAGAAGTCGTTTATCAGCAAAAATATCAAGTTCCTTGGGATAGCATAGAAATAAAAAGGTATGTCAAAGAAAAAGAAAAAGAAAAAGAAAAAGAAAAAGAAAAAGAAAAAGAAAAAGAAAAAGAAAAAGAAAAAGAAAAAGAAAAAGAAAAAGAAAAAAAATGAAAAAGAAAAAGAAAAGCTAAACACGAATTTTCTTGGAGGAAGTTTTACCTGGGTTTTTTAGTGCTCCCATCACTTTACTGGAGGGTTTGTAAAATATCCTCCACATACCTCGGTATAGCTCTGCTGAGGCTGACTGAAAAACTGAAAAGACGATTATTTTAAAATATACATTGACAGCACATAACTGAGTTCTCATAGCTATAAAAATGAATCATTCTTTGGTTTTGATATTTTGTAGTTACCCTCCAGAAATAAATTTTGCTGGTAAATCAAGCAAAAAAACTCGTCTCAAAGATGGCTCTCTTATTTTTCAGACATCACATTACAGGAGGCAAGCACCCAGAGTAGGAAAGCAGCCTGGAATCTATCCATGTAATACACTCTAATTATAACTTGTGTGTCATCTTTCCAATAGACCATGTGTTTACAAGAAACTGTCACTGACTTTTGGCGTATGTGAGAGCAATTGGGTTGAACAGTGTTTTTAAACTACGGGAACTTGAGAGTGTCTTTTTCTATTTATGTTTTTACTTCTCAGTATGGTGTGTACCGTCATTTGCTGTAGACCTCTAACATGGGTGAGTAGTCTAGTTTTCCTTGGTAGTCAGCAGAGAGTTGACCTCTGGAGGCCAACTCTCAGAGTACTTAAATTCATCTTTGTCTGTTGTTTACTTATGGAGCTTAGATTCCCTAGTGAAGGCACATAAATGAGGTCGTTTCCGAGCATTAAAAAAATGCTGCACCATAAAAATTTCAATAGTCTCTATTGATCTTATAAGTAAGTGCAGATCTATGTCAGAATTTGCTTTTAATTTTTTTCTGTCAAGGTAAGCAAGTCAGCAAGAACTTTTAAGCAACTTTACCTGGTCACTGTATTTTTAATGACCGATTCACATAAAATTAATAGAATGAGTGACAGAACATAGCCTTATACATGCAAAGTACTTTATCAGAATACCCCCATTCATATAAATTACTGGGAAGCACTTTTACATATGTCTCTTGAAAATGTTTGCTTTTCTAACCCATTTTGCTTGTTAGATTGACTCATATGAGTAATGAGGTGATGTATAAAGAACGGCATCCTTTGCTGCTGATTTTGCCCTTTGTTCGGATCCAAAGCATGCCTATCATGGGTCCGTATTTAAATTCCTTGAGAAGGAAAGCCAACGTGATGTGAGAATTTGGAAGAATGGTATGAAAGACAACCTTGTGAATACCAGACTAGGTGCCTGAACTGATCACATTTTCGTTCCCAAGTCTTGAATTTTTAAAACTAAACTAATAAAAATGCAGAATTGCTTTATTAATTAATAGGAAAATTACATAGATGATGTGTAGCCTGGTGAGCAGCTGCCAAGTAAGGTGAGTGCTCTGTGAAATTTTCACTTGGTGATTGAGTTCTGGGTAGGAGTCTTGGCAAAGCATCCAGACCTCCGTGGTTGTTGGTTCCTCAGATTTATTTTTGAAAGGTTCTTTTCACATTAATTTGATTTTATACTGTCTAGCACCTTATACTTACCAACGTTTTTCTGTCATTGTGCTTAAGGTGATCTGAAACACTTCCATTTCCTGGACTGAAAAATAAGGGGACACGTGTGTGGGCGTCCACACGTGTGCACGCACACATACACACACAGAGAAACAGCTCTCCATCCCCAAAAAGCTAGCAAGAAAAATAACTATATGAAACCAGAAGTTTCAAAGTTTAGGTAGAGAATCACAGAACTGATTTGACACATCATATTTAGATTCTTTAAGTGTTCTCTAAGATTAAAAGTGGGCTTTTTAATCAACATTCTCTGAGAACCATGGACTAAGCAAAAGGCAAATAAAATTGGATGTTTTCAAAGAAGCAGTACTTCAATAATAATAGTGAAATT